TGCATGAAGTGAGGTAAGGGTCTTGTTTCATTTTTCTGCAGATAGATATCCATTTATTCCAGTACCACTTGTTAAAGAGGGCATCTGCTTCCCATTGGACATTTTTGGGCCCTTATCAGAGATTAGTTGTCTGTATGCTGCTGATTTTATTTTTGGGTTTTCAATTCTTTTCCATTTGTCTGAGTATCTGTCATTGTACCAATACCATGTGGTTTTGACAACTGTGGCTGTATAGTATGTGCCAAAGTCAGGTAAAGCAAGCCCTCCCACTCTGTCCTTCTTCTTGAGGAGTTCTCTGCTAATTCTGGGCTTCTTCCCTCTCCATATGAAGTTGGTAATCAGTTTTTCCATATCTTTGAAGAAAGATGAGGGTAATTGTATAGGGATTGCATTAAATTTATATAGTGCCTTAGGCAGAACTGACATCTTTACTATATTGAGTCTTCCAATCCTACAGCATGGGATTCTTCCATTTGTTGAGGTCACGCTTGGTTTCTTGTAATAGTGTTGTGTAGTTTTCCCCATATAGATCTTTTGTTCTTTTAATCAGGTATATCCCTACTTATTTCAATTTGTGCTTGGCTATTGTGAAGGGTACCACCTTTTTGATCTCCTCCTCAGTGGTCTTATCTGATGTGTATAATAGTCTGATGGACTTTTGTTTGTTGTTCTTGTATCCTGCCACTCTGCAAAACTCCTCTATTGCTTCCAGTGCTCCCTTTTTAGAGCTTTTCGGGTTTTCCACATATAAAATCATATCATCTGCAAACAATGATAGTTTCATCTCTTCCTTCCCCAGACAAATACCTTTTATGTCTTTTCTTTGCCTATGTTGCTAGCTAAAACCATCAGTATGATATTAAATGAGAGTGGGGACAAGGGACATCTCTGTCTGCTCCTCTTTTTCAGTGGGATTGTGTTAGTCTTTACTCCATTGGCTACCATGTTGACTGTTTGTTTTTTATATATAGCTTGTATTGTCTTGAGGAATTTTCCTTCCATCCCTGTCTTCTCAAGTGTCTTAAACAGGAATTGATGATGGATGTTGTCAAATGCTTTTTCTGCATCTATCGATATTATCATGTGGTTCTTATAGTTTTTCATGTCAATGATACTGGTGGTCTTTCATATGTTGATCCATCCCTGCCTCCCTGGTATGAATCCCACTTGGTCATGTTGGATTGTTTGTTTTATATAGTTTTTGCATTCTATTGGCCCATATTTTGTTAAGGATTTTTGCATCCATGTTCATTAGGGATATTGGTCTGTAGTTCTCAATTCTTGTGGGATCTTTGTCCAGATTAGGTATCAGGGTTAACTAGCTTCATAGAACGAGTTCAGGAGTTTGCTGTCTTCTTCTATGTTCTGGAAGAGTTTGTGTAGGATTGGTGTTAGTTCTTCCCTAAATGCTTGGTAGAATTCTGTGAAGCCATCTGGTCCAGGGGATTTTTTTGGTTGGTAATCCCTTGATAACCTTGTCTATTTCTTCTATTTCTATGGGACTGTTGAGATTCTTGACGTCCTTTGGGGAGGGATTTTTTCCTCAAGAATTTGTCCATGTCTTCCAAGTTGTTGAATTCATTGGAGTACCATCCTTTGTAGTACTGTGCAATTATCCTTTTGATTTCATTAGGGTCTGTTATAATGTCCCCTCTTTCATCCCTCATTCTTGCTTTTGAAATTTGTTCCCTTCTTTCTTTGGTTAGGTTGTCAGCAGTCTGTTAATTCTGTTTATTCTTTTAAAGAACCAACTTTTATCAACATTAATTTTCCCCATAGTTTTCTTATTTTCCCTTTCCTGAATCTCAGCCCTGATTTTTATAATTTCTTTTCTTTTGCTATTAGTGGGATTGTCCTGCTGACTCTTCTCTACTTGCTGTAAATTTTGTGCCAGAATATCATACATGAGCCTTTCTTCCTTTTTCAGGTGTGCATGTATTGCTATGAAACTTCCTCTGGTAACTGCCTTTGCTGTGTCCCTTAAGTTTTGGTATGTCGTGTTCTCATTCTTGTTGTTTGGTAGAAATTTCCCAATTTCATCTCTGATCTGCGGCAGTACACACTCCTTTTGCAATAGATATTTATTCATCCGCCAATTGTTTGCTCTTGTTTTCTTCATCTTCCTTTTGTTGATTTCCAGCCTTATGGCACAGTGGTCAGAGAGAGAGGTCTGTATGATATTAATGCGCTTAAATTTATGTAGATTCACCTTATGCCCCAGCATGTGGTCTATCTTCTAATATGTGCCATGCGGGTTTGAAAAGAATGTGAATTTATTTTTGTATTTGGATGAAAAGCTTTGTAAATATCTCTCTGGTTAAATAGTCTAATTGTAGTATTTAGATCTCAAGCCTCCTTGTTGAGTTTCTTTTCCTGTGATCTATCTTCCTCAGAGAGCGGTGTATTGAAGTCACCCACCATAATCATTGCAGCTGTGATTTCTTTTTTCATCTTTTGGAGTGTTTGGTTCACATATTCAGTGGGTCTCTCATTCGGGGTATATATGTTTACAATGCTTAGTGGTTATTTGTCTGCCATTCCCTTGAGCATTATATAGTGTCCCTACTAATCTCTTTTTATGGTTTGAACTTTGAGGTCAGTTTTATCTGAGATTAGAATTGCAACCCCTGCTTTTTTGAAATGCTGTTTGCTTGGTATGCCTTTCTCTAGCCTTTGATTGTCAGCCTCTTTTTGTTTGTATCCTAGAGATGTGTCTCCTGTAGGCAGCAGATTGATGGATTGTGTTTTCTAAGCCAGTCTGCTAGTGTCAGTCTTTTAATGACTTAGTTTAGGCCATTGATATTCAGGGTTGTTATCTCCATCTGTGGACTCTGTGATGTCACCTTATACCTTTTGTGTTGGGTGTTTTCCTACTTTCCTTTCTCATTAGTGTGTTGTGCGTGTGTGTGTGTGTGTGGTTCATTCTTGAATTCTTTCCACCCTTAAGCCAATGCTAGCTTGGGGGCTGTTTTCTTCTTTGTTGCTGTCTGAGTGGGGTTGTTCAAAGTGGCGGCCTCCTATTTGTGCTTGGTGAGTGCCATTCTTCTGCCCATACTGGGTTGGCAAGGATCTTTCGTCAGGCTAGGTTATTTTTTAATGTATTCTTTGACTGTTTCCTTGTCTGGGAAGACTCTTATATCTCCATTTATCTATAGATAATATGGCTGGATAGTGTATTCTTGGGTTTGTGTATTTTTTTTAAATGTATTACTCTACTCTCTCCTATTCTTACTGTCCACTGATAAGTCTTAGCATATCCTTATTTGGGAACATTTATATGTGATTGCTTGTTTTTCCCTAGCTTCTGTCTTGATTTTCTCCTTTTCCTCAAAGTTGGATAGTTTAACTATTATGGGCCTTGGTGACTTCTTGGGATTCAGCCTAGGTGGTGTTCTTTTAGCCTCCTGAATGTTTGCCTGGTTTTCATTCATTAAGCTGGGAAAGTTATTTTCCAAGGATTCTCACACTTTTTTGGAGAAATTATTCTGATGTTGTTCCTCTTCATAGCATCAGACATAGCTTTTAGGTATTTTTCAGCTTCTCTGATGATATTATTAGATTTTTGTTCATGTTTGTTAAAGTCTGCTTGACTGTCCTTTGGGTCACTGGTGGGTTTCTCTGCCTCCTCCAGTTGGTTGGCGAAGTCTGTGAGTCTGCTACTGCTTTTTGTTATCTCTTCCATAAGCTCTTGTATTTCCCATGGTTGTGTGGTCTCATTTCATCCGTTTTCTATATTGTTTCCTTCATCTGCTGTATGACTCCAAGTAGCATTCTCAAAATTTCTGTCTGTGGCAGATCAATGTCTGCTTCTTCTATGACATCCTTAGGTTCAGGACCTCTTCTGCCATTGCCTTTTGTTTCTCCTATTTTTTTATTGGCAAATGTTTTCCCAGACTGTGGGGTAGGTGGGACAGAGAGATGAGAGGGAGACAAAAGTAACAATATAGCTGAACCTAGATCCCTTACCATGTGGTTGGAGGGGCTTAAACCCTGCCCCGAGATGGCTGAGCCTGTGGTGGGTGAGAGAGAAGAGAAACAAAAGTAACAATATAGCTGAGCCCCGATCCCTGACCATGGGGCTGGAAGACTTAAAACCTGCCTTGAGGCAGTGGCAAGTTGTGGTTGTGTTGAGATAAAGCCCATGTGCCAGCTCCAAATGGTCCCGGCACTGGCCGAGACAGTGGCAGGGCTAAGGTCCAACCCTAGCCAGCCTCCACCATGGTAAGCCAAAGGCCCCCAGCCCCTCAAAACCTTGGGGGTTTATGCCTACTTATCTTTATGATGCTCCTCCTGAGATCCAGCAGTGTTGAATTTCCTCTTAGTAACTTTCCTGTGCTGATTTCTGTGGAGTCCCACTGGTATGTGTTATTCAGGCTCCATCTTCCTAGAAGTCTCTCTTCATTCAAGTCTTAGAGTTATCAAATACTACACACATCCTGGTTCAATTTTCATTAAATATTAAAGGCATTATATGTTTTTATAATTTGGAACTTACTTTTGTAATCAGAAAGTAATACTCACATTTTTTGAAGGGACAGTTCTTAACCTTCTTGCTCGAATTCAATGACATCATTCTTCCCCTTGACTATTGTTCTAAATCATCCAAGATAACAGTAAACTTTATTTAATACATTGAATGTTATTTTCTATTATAGCCCTTATTGTATTTTGTTTTCTATACTACTTTCCTTAAAAAACTGTGTGTACTATGAACAAATACAAGCAAAATTTCATTCTTCTCTTAAACTCTTTCAGGATCTGACATATTTTCTGAAACATCAAATTTTATAAACCTTGACTTAATGAGCAAAGATGAACTTTATAAATTCAAACAAGAAGACACTTTCAAAAAGTTGACTAACAAGTACTCATTTTCAAAGAAATAATAAAAAAGTAATATCTGTCAAATTTTATATTTGACAGTTAAATATGTATTGAAATTGTTATTCTGTAATTCATGCATAAATTGACTAATTTCTCATACCCACAATTTCTTTTAGGATCTTAGAGGATCTGTGCTTAAAATCTGCAATTTTCTTGAGAAAAAATTGAGTGACGAGGCAGTGGATGCAGTTGTGAACCTGGCCACATTTCAGAACATGAAGTCTGACCCACAAGCAAATTATAGGAAAATCCTTAAAGATGAAATTGGAACAAGGAAAGATGGACTTTTCCTACGCAAAGGTGATGTTCAGCGATTTATAGAAGCAAATGTATTTAATGGTTCCTTGAGTTCTTTGTCCATATGGGAATTAAGAGGTTTTTTTCCCCAGTGTTGTTCTATAAGTGATACTGGCCTTTGTATTCCTAGTGCCTATCTGTGGTTCAAACTCAACATGGCCCTAAAGTGTGCCTCAGAACCTGTAACACATTGAATGTAGAGCCTGAACGTGGGCCTATATAATCAATACTAGTTATCTTCTTTCTAGACTATATGATGCCACTCTTTAAAATTTATTAGCAATATTTTAGTGGAACATAATGGATATATATGAATATAAGCAGCATAGGTCCAATTATTGTTTTCTCATCTTTCCCCTAAAACATTCTGAAAGGTAACTGTAATACTCATTTTATTATCTCTATTGTGTGGAGGTGGCTTGGTTGTATTCTTGTTATTTTTCATGAGTCAGATTTTTCATCATAAAGAGTAGAGTGACATAGAAATACCTAATGTGTTATAAATTCAGGTATTCAACTTATTGGACAATGGGAAAAAAGTTTTTGTTGTATATCTAATGTGTACAAGAAATTATTTTTAAGATTGAATGTATTTTCCTGCATATTGATGCCCATTAAGTTCAAATAATTTATTTTAATCATGGTACTGTATGTCATTCTAAAACAAAATTTGTATTTCTCTATTTCATATACATTTTATTCTCTGATTTATTCATAATGTCTTATAGATGGTCATTAATTAATACGCTGTTGTACCTGAGTAAGTTAAAAAGTATTGCTGCTAGGGTTCTAGTTCTTACATGTGATGGCTTATTTCAACCTAAATATTTAAAATATTTCTTAGTGATTAGTGAAGGCTTCAGAAAAAATTCTCTCAGTACTATACTTCTCTTTTTCTCATGATGTTGTCTTAAAACAATAAGTTCTGTTCAAACAGTGACTTCTGAGGTAACCTGCCCCTCCAGGTTAGTTCAAGGCAGAGAGCTCCTCTCAGAATTGTATGGTGATTATTTTATACCATTTCAAATGAGAAATGTTGGTAGACTTTCTCCAAGGAAATAGTCATATCCACAGAGGCTTCTATGGGAGAAGTTGTAGAAAATGGAAAACAGATTTGCTGAGAGAATCTTTGTCATTGTGATCATACATATGCTCATCTTTTGAAGGTATCAAGGGTTTCACTATACTAATTTCATTTAGCAATCTTCCTCTATCTTCCCAAATTCCCAATCTTGCTGCTTCAGAATTCTTCTGTGCACAAACTGAAAGAACTGTAAAGGAACACGATTTAAGTTCCTCAAGGATCCCCAAAGTGCTGTTTTGATGTGTTGTAAGTCAAAGAGTAAGAGTTCTTGGGCAAGGGTTAGAGAGAATGAAATAGCACCTTGGGCTTATATAGATCTGGCTGAATGATATGGTGAGCAACAACTGCTTCAGAGCTTGATAATTTTGTTTAATGATAATTTTGTTTCCATTATTTTGTAGCAATACATGTTGACTTATCCTCATATCAGGATGTTAATCGAAATTTCCCCCAATAATCATAGTTTTTAAAATGCTCACTTTTCCTTATTCCTATGCAAGGATCAGTTTGAGCCTCTGAGCCACTCTTTGGAGAACAGATGTGGCAGTCTGCTTCCATAAAGATATGTGGCTTTGGAAACCTTGGATCAGTTCTATTCTGTCCTAATGGTCATTATGGGTCAAAATTAAATTGAAGGCAGTGGGTTTAATGGTTAGGTTTTATTATTAACTTTTCATTGTTCAGTTAAATCAAACATGATACAATTTTACGCCCACAAGCATTTTCTTATTGCTGTAATTGACAATAAGAATGTGTACAAAGGAAACTCTGTTAACAAAATTTGCTAAACTACTGGACTTTAATTGAAAAAAAATTAGTGTGCTGCTTAAACTTTCTATAATGTAACCTTTTGTAACCTTCACATTAACACTTGACAATCTTTAAATTTTATTAACTTTTATCAATTTAAAGATGAATAAATATCTACCTTACAGGCTTATTTTAAGATGTAAGTGGTCTGTCCGTACAGTGTTTCATGGGAGGAAGAGGAGGCTTCCTACTCCCATAGAGAGTTTAAGTCTCAGAAACCAAAAGTAACAGTTCTACCCTGTCCTCTAGCGTTGCTATGCGTCAGCATCAACTCAAGGGCAGTGGGCCTTGTACTGTTGGATACATAGTAAAACTGGGGGGAAATCTCTTTATGTATATTGGTGTTTCATTCTTTTCAGTAAACATCATGTTGCAATGATTATAAAGAGCGCAAGCCTAAAAGAGACGAACATAATCTATACTATATTTATTGTTTTACTGCATTCCTAAGATAGTTTCTGAAGTTATTACCACAAAAGAAAAGATGAAAAATCAAACCTTTTGGAAAACTAACCGATATTTAGCTTCATTTAGAGAAGATTCAAGTGGGTTGGGATAACCTTCACCCTTTGCATTTTACATGGTCACTAGCTGCTCTTCATATGTTATCCTACTAGGTACCATTGGAGACTGGAAAAATCACTTGACCGTGGAACAGAATGAAAGATTTGACAAGGTCTTCCAAAAGAAGATGAAGAATGTTTCCTTGAAGTTCATCTGGGATATAAATGAGGAGTAGAATTCTAACTACAGTCAAAATAATCATACAAATCTACTAATCAGTTACATACTTTGATATACATATTGATGTGTTTCTTATGTAATTGCTAATTTAAAATTAATTAATTACTTTATTATTTTAAATGAAAATATAAGTATATCCAGATAATTGGCATGAGTTTGAATTTTAAATTTTATTTAAATTAATTTTAAATTTAAATTTTAAATCCTTAAAATTTAAATATTAAAATGATTTGGGAAGTATAGTTATACTGAAATGTAAAAATAAAAAGCATGCATCATGAACTTTAAATGTTTTGAGAATTTTTTGTGTAGTATGGATAATTACAGATCCACAATTAAATCTAGGACCAATTAGACATTAAAAGTAATTTCAATTTGTTAAGTTTTAATTATTTATCTTCAAAATCGATTTGAATGTGAAAATGGGGTTGCTAGTAGAGCAAATAAAGAACTCAAATATAAATATGTGTTCATTATGATAATTTAGCATCACAAAGTTTGCACAAAAAATCAGATCAGTGAGTGAAAAAGAATTAATTATTCAATTACTTGAAAATTTGGATATAAAATGTATCACACAAATAGATACCCTAAAACTCAGACTTTGTATGTTGGTCTGGGTAGCCTAGCGAAACAAATTTATAGGCACTCCTATGTGTATAAGAAAGAGGTTTATAAACAAGAGCAATTGAATATTGAGAAAGCACCACAGCCTGGTCCAGATCAAGTCCATAAGTCGGATATTAGTCCATATGTCCAATACTAATCTATAAATTCACCTTCAGAGTAATGCAACACATGCAATGATGTCAAATGCAGGAGATCACAGGCCAGTGGGTGGAAAGTGTTATGGATCCAGAGACTGTAGAAGCATCCCATTGCTGGCAGGGGTCTCCAGCTCCCAGAGCTCTGGCTGCATCAGCATACTCCATCAGGTTTGTCATCAGTACTGTCTCTCAGGGAGTGAGTATGTGTCCTGCTTCCAGTGAGCTGTTTATCTCCTTATCACCTCCAAATCAGATCGTCAAGCTGAGACCTGATTGAACTCCACCCCTTTTCACTCTTAAGTCTCAAATTGACAACAGATTATGTAACTGCCACACTATGTCATTCACCACACAAATCCTATGTGTGTTTAATTGTGAAATATTGAAGACAAATCATTGGAATGTATAAAAACATTTTATAACCATTTTATTGTAGTTATTACTGATATCATATTATTCCATAGTTCAGTCGCATCAAGTAGTGCTGTAAAATTGCTACCAAAATCACTTTCAAAATTTTCTTTTCCTTCTTGAACTCCTTGACATCAGCTCACTTTGACCTCATTTCACCTTCCCACCACACTGCCATCACTGTAACCCCC